ATTGTAGTGGTAGTTCTCTAATGTGCACCTCTGCATACCCCTTCGGGGATAATAGCGTGTCATTTTGAGGAGGGGATTATTTTTCTATGAGCAGAAAAGAGTGCTTTTGCCCTTGGCTTTTGCTATAAATAGATAGATGGATATTTTTTATACCCCCCCCCCCATTTAGGCTATTTTGTCGTATAAAAGATTAAAATTAGTGTGTGTGCTGTGAACAAACATAGGTACGATACAAATATCAAAATAACACTTTTTAGAATGTTTGTCTATCTGTACCTACTAGCTAATCTGTGAAATGGCTGGATCTATTTTTACGACCTTCAAACCTTCAAGAGAAGAGCGTACTCCTTTTTAAAGGGCCGGCAACGCACCTGTGACTCTTCTGGTGTTGCGGGTGTCCATGGGCGGCGCTGATCGCTTACCATCAGGTGATCCGTCTGCTCGTTTGCCTCCTATTCCATAAAAAAAAAAAAAACGGGACTTGTATTGGTAAGTAGCTGTTCTAAGGAACATAGGCTGCTTTTATTTTAAATCAATAAACAAAGACGAAGTTGTGGGTTCAGTTAGTCCATATTTAAATGAATAATTAATGGTTCTGTATGCGCATCTATTCTTTCATAGATTCATTATAAAAATACTGAGAACAAATTGCAGAGAACGAAACGTAACTATAACCCGAACACATTGAAAACACTTCATATAAACTGTCAACAGTTTATAATCTGTGACATGTTCATTTGGTAGCGTAATACATAAATTTTTATTTATCTGTTATCAGCTGATTAACAGAGAGGTTAGAAATTTAGAATTTGTTTTTGTAATTTCCTGTCGATTAATTGTATTTTAAACGAAAATGACTGTCAAACCTCGTGAAAGACCAGCAGATCCTGACGATGACCCTGTAGAAGCGATGCTAAAGAAAACAGGCTGCTTGGAATTACACTACAAAGTACAGGTTAGGAATTACACTGCTTTTAATGATATAACCTATTACCTAGGACATTTCGTTTACAAATTAGTCATATTTGTACTTATTATGTAGGATTATTTAAGTTTGGAAGCCATTTTTGATATTTAATATAGGTAGATGTAAATGTCTTGCAATAATGATCTATACAAGAAATTGTGGTTCTACGTAAGTATATTCTACAGTCGTGTAGGTGGTCTTTCTGTAGCATTTTAAACATAATTATTTCTTTTAATTTAATAAATAAATGCCCAAATCATGTTTTGTTTACATAACATCAACCTAATGCTTGAATTTGAAATCAGCGCCATCTATACTTGTGACCAACTATACTCGAATGGAAAAAAAATAAAAATATATTATTTTTGACAAAATAAATACGAATTGTTTCAGGAATGCATAGCTACAACCAAAGATTGGAGGAAGTGCCAGACAGAAGTGAACGATTTCAGAGACTGTATCAACAAACACAAGAAACCTGAAGTAAAAAGTTAATTTAGTTATTATTGTTGTTTCATTTCATACTAGCCCGCGTTACCGTGGAATAAAAAATGGCCCATTATTGTAGACCTTAAATAAAATTATAATTAATAGATAAGAACATAATCTTAAGGAGAATAATTTTAGTCCAGTCTGGAGCTGACCAGTCCAAGTTAACGGCACCCGTTCACGAACATGACACATACACTAGTACCGCCGAACTAAACCATGTTGTAGGGAATTGATCCACTGCACCTGCCTCCGCCAATGATATCTTTGAGTGAGCATGACGACTTCAAGCTGACACAAATGAATTCTACTAGTCTAATTTAATATTAAGTTAATTACAGAGCTAAACAATATACATTTTAGCAACAAGGCTTTAATATTTACATGTTTGGATTTCGTTGAAACATCAATGTTTTTCTTTATCCTGTGGAGTTGGACCAGCCTGCCTCCAAGCAATTTTATCCTCTATATAATCATTAAGTTTGTAGTAGGTATGCTTGTCTACATAAAGTTTTTTTTTTTTTACACAACTAGCGACCCGCCCCGGCCTCGCACGGGTGCAATTAGAAACGTGTCCCTTCGTCCAGCATACTCACCATGGAATCCTGATATTTCATGAATGTCAAAAAACTGTTCTGAAATAGTGCTAAATAGTGCCCAAAGGAAAAAAATAGTGCTCTTGTACTTGCGAAGTTATAGCCATAGTTCGATGAGTATGCTGGACGAAGGTTTCGCCCAGCATACTCACCTCCGTCCGGAGAATCTGTATACGCTTCAAACATAATTCATACTTCAAAAAATAGTTCCCAAATAGTGCCAAACGGTGCCCAAAAAGAAAAAACAGTGCTCGAATAACTTCGGAGTTATAGGCTTCGTTCAGTGAGTATGCTGGGCGTAGGTTCTACGCCCAGCATACTCACCTCAGTGCGCGAATATCGAACGAGCTATAGGTACAATTTACGTCTCAAAAAATTGTGCTTGAAATAGTGCCCAATATCAGTCCAATTTTTGCTTGACTTTTGACTTAGAAAACCATTAAATTTTAATGTAAACTTCTACATACTAACGTAAAATGGGGTACAGTCGTCGACACATGTTTTTGGACAAAAATATTAAACTTTCTAATTGTAGACTTCATGTTATTGGAAATAATTATGGTATTTTCTCACATGTCAAAAACTTTCGATTAAATGCATTATTATATATTTTATAAATAATAATAAATGAATGAAACTTTAAGCGTAAATGAAGTCTATTACTTCATTGCATTGTGTGTTTGTCTGAATAAAAACAGTCATTTGCAGCCAATAAAATTAATATCTTGAAAAATTGTAAAAAGGAAATTATACAGTTTCTTTTTGTATATATGTTGCAGGCAAAACTTATAACCAGTCAAAACTAGTACTGTGACATAGTTATACAAATTTTTAAAACTCTTTCCAATAGTTTCATCAATGAAAGGTTTAGCAATAAAAAACATTTTTAATTACTTACGTTATTTATTACTATTTAAAGGGCCAAAGTAATCAGAATTCTAGTTAACTAGTTCACAGCTTTTGTTAACATTCATAATATAATCAATGTAAATAGAAAAAATTGTAGTTTTAATATTGTATATAATATACATATAAAAAATGTTTAGCCAAATATTGGTAAAACTTTCTAAAATATAACACGTAGGTACTTGTACTTTGTTTTACTGCTACAACGTTTTAATCACAATAAAATCACAATAAATATTATAAAGTATTATTAAAATAATGTGTAATTAATAATATTGCGATTCTAAAGTAAATACTCCCTTACATAGACAATTAATAATTTACACAAGACAAAAATTGTTAGAAAGAAAGTTAATAATATTGTATTCGACTGTACTCAATGTAATGTATGTAGAAGTTTACAATCAAATTTAATGGTTTTCTAGGTCAAAAGTCAAGCAAAAATTGGACTGATATTGGGCACTATTTCAAGCACAATTTTTTGAGACGTAAATTGTACCTATAGCTCGTTCGATATTCGCGCACTGAGGTGAGTATGCTGGGCGTAGAACCTACGCCCAGCATACTCACTGAACGAAGCCTATAACTCCGAAGTTATTCGAGCACTGTTTTTTCTTTTTGGGCACCGTTTGGCACTATTTGGGAACTATTTTTTGAAGTATGAATTATGTTTGAAGCGTATACAGATTCTCCGGACGGAGGTGAGTATGCTGGGCGAAACCTTCGTCCAGCATACTCATCGAACTATGGCTATAACTTCGCAAGTACAAGAGCACTATTTTTTTCCTTTGGGCACTATTTAGCACTATTTCAGAACAGTTTTTTGACATTCATGAAATATCAGGATTCCATGGTGAGTATGCTGGACGAAGGGACACTTAGAAACCTCTAAATTGATCAGTGTTTCTCTACTATATTACGCATGTATTATACATATAAACCTTCCTGAAGAATCTCCCTATCTATTACTATGTAGTTATTTAAATTTGGTATCATTTAGGTGTTGTATATTGCCTGGTATCTTATTATAACATTTAACACAGAATCCCATGAACGACCTACTTTCGTCAATCTCAAAATTAGCTGACTGAAACTGGACGCGATCTACCCTTGTCTAGTTTGATAGTGGTGTCTGTCTGACACTTTACCAAGTAGCTGTAGGGTTTTCCCTAAAATACATGAGATACATATCAATTTACTCATGTTTTCATAAGTAAATTGATATGGAACGGTCATAATGTTGATGTTGCGAATCTCGGACGCGATTCGCTAATTCTTTGTCATTAATTAAAAGATTCACGACGACCTAGGTTGTAGATAGCTCTGACGGCGCGCTTTTGTAAGATAAAGATAGACTAAATGACAGCAGCGTGTCCCCACAGCAAAATGCCATACGACATAATGCTATGAAAGTAACTGAAGTAGGTACACTAGTCTTGCCGTGCCTATGTCGGTCAACTGTCGGATCTTCCAGACAGCATAAGCTGTAGAGCTGAATCGTCCCGCTAAAGATGTAATGTGATGACCTCATTGAAATTTGTCGTCTACAGTAATTCCCAGAAAAGTAGTCTCTTTCACAAATTCTAATTTCTCATCATTCATGCTATATGTCACATTCGCAGCTTTTAACATTTGGCAAAACAAATCTAATACATTTTGTCCTTTTATGGTTTAGTACTAAGTTATTTAATGTAAACCAATTTTGAGTCCTTGAAAATTCACAGGGCAGTGAATGTTTATAAATCAATACATAGTATAAAACAAAGTCGCTTTCGCTGTATGTCCGTATGTATGCTTAGATCTTTAAAACTACGCAACGGATTTTGATGTGGTTTTTTTTAATAGATAGAGTGATTCTTAAGGAAGGTTTGTATGTATAATACATGCATAATATAGTAGAGAAACACTGATAAATTTAAAGGTTTCTAATGTGATGTCGTAAATAAACATGTTTTTTGCGCTTATATTGCAAACGCTGGCTGAACCCGACGAGATAGACCAAAATAATGTACTACAATATTGTTCACTTTAAAAAGTTCAACAAAAAAGTCCGCGATGGTATATGTCTATCTCTTAGGGATAACCCAGCATAACCATTTTTATTCTTTACTAAAAAATGGTTATTTACGAAGTGATTTTAAACAATACAATCCTTATCCAATTAAGTACCTTAAATAAATTGTGCATTTATTATAGATCAATATGCTTTTTACAGCAAATAATTTAAAAGTGAATATTACCGAAGATATTACAAATTTAAAATGCAGGGTCGTAGTTGTTTGCGCCGGGCGGCGCGTGCCTATAAATAGCGCGTCGATGGCCGCGCTTCGCCTTATAACACTTTATGATTTGCAGCGATCGCACGCGTTTATCGGAGGATTTCATCTGACCTTGTACTTCCTGGACTTATTTGTTGCTTGTGTGTGACACAGTACTTGTCGATACGATTGTTCTACATATGTGAATACTAGGAATATACATAACGTAGTAGTTTTTATAAAAAAAATCTAGCTGAATCGTCAAACTTCGTACAGCCTAAAAGTTTTTTCTCACCTTTTAAACTTTCCCTAGACTTCTACGAACCTATCAAGACCAAAATTAGCCAAATCGGTTCAGCCGTTCTCGAGTTTTAGCGAGACTAACGAACAGAAATTCATTTTTATTTATATAGATAGATAGATAGATATATAGAACACACAGAAGTGTACAAGGCGTACATTGTAAAATATGTTTCGTCGTAATTTAACCCAAGGTGCTTTATTTGGCAGTGGCACTCCACTCGGCCAATAAGGTAGTGTAGTATATATTAAAAATGATAGGAAGTCCTTTTATAATAGTACCTAACGATTGGAAGTAGTGAAGGAAAAAGTAAAAAGGTCTAGCCTATAATAACATCAAACAGAATGTGGCTATCGAGAACAAATAAAAATCGCCCCGTGAAAGCGCTGACATTCAGCCAAACCTATAAAAAGGCTGAGTAAGCTGACTCCAACCTCCTTGGCAACATCAAAAAGGAAAACTTCTCAATTTAATTTTAGATTTGTATAAAGAACATGCCAGTATTACAGAAAAAAATGTTACAAAATATCGTATATATATATATTAATTTCGTTCTAAAGGTATTATGATAAATATCATGAATTTAATGATATCATAATGACTGAAACTCCAGAGGCGTTATAAGTTTGTTACCGGCCTTTTGAGAGTTGGGAATTTGAGGACTGGGGAAGGGGGATAATTGGGCCTCTGCTAACCTCACACAAACGACGAAACATAATGCAAGCGTTGTTTCACGTCGATTTTCTGTGAGGCCGTGATATAACTCCGGTCAAGCCAGCCTATTCATGCCGAAGCATGGATGAAGCTCTCTCACACATAAACGTATAATTGTAGAAAATATATAAGAGTGATTTTGCCTCTCTTGGATACTCCCCATCGTACAGTATCTCTACCCTTGAACGTTAACTCCCCGGCCACTCCGTATACCGATAAAAGTTTTCAAAAACAGTAGCCCT